CCAACAGTAATGATACTTGATACCGTTTTGTCGCTTCATATATTTAGTTGCTTCAGCAATAACTTGTGCCATTCTTACTATTGTCGTCATCGACAGGATGAAAACCACAAGAAACTATATAAATATGTAGCTACTCTGGAGGAGCTTCAAACTTTGGAGCTTGAGGGTTTGAGTGCTGAGATTATTCTTATGGATGTAGTGAAAGATAAGGGTTTGAGTACTGGATTAGAAAGTGTTTATTGAGGTGTTTTGAAGAAGCAATAGTAGTACACGTTCTATGTTTATTGTGTACAGATTAAATGCTTCGTAATGAAGTCATAATTTTTATTTCATAGTCTCCTTATTCATTTGTGCGTAAATAAATGATGTTTGTTTTTAATTTTGTCTGTCAATGTTTTATATGAAAATAGGGGAGGAAAAAAAGAAGGAAGAAGAAGGACAATAACCAAGGAAGGACTAAGGAATAGGCAAAAAAAAAAAAAAAAAAAAAAAAAAAAAAAAAAAAAAGGAGAGAGAGAGAGAGAGAACAGAAATGACAACGGTCGAAGAACGTTGTAGAAAACTTAACACAACATTCAAAGAACGTTGCAAAAAAGAAGAAGACAACATTCAATGAACGTTGCGAAAAACCTCAAGACAATATGCGTTGAACGTTGCGAAAATCCTTAAAACAATATGCGTTAAACGTTGCAAAAAACCTCAAGATAACACGCATTAAACGTTGCGAAAAACTTTATGACAGCACGTATTGAATGTTGCGAAAATTTCCACCCTACGGCAACATCAAAGCCCGCAACACACACCCGAATGATGCAAAAGGTCCATGACAACGTTTTTTAACCATTGCAAAAGACAGTTTTTGTTGTAGTGGTTTTGTGTAATATTGTGGCCCTTGTAAATTATCGTACTATGGATGGATTTTGTCCCAAGTGCCAAAACTTGAGCTGCCCAATTTTGAAGCCCTTGCTGCGAGAAAGGCCTTATCCTGCCATCAAGTCAAGATCAAAAACAAAGGAGAATAAAAGGAAAAGAAATCACAGTTTAATAACTTTCTAGGAATCATGTTTAACCTTTGATGCTATCAATAGTCTCTTAGACTCGAAAAGTAATAACAATGGCCAGTCCAATAGCAGATTTAGCAGCTATTACCATTGGAACCAACGAAGCAGATGATTGACTCGTCATGTCATGCGCAGTAACGAAAAACTAAGATTCGAACGGACAAAATTTGAAATGAATGCACCATGAAGATTTTGTTGAGTTAAATTTAATCCAAAATATGAATACAGCAATCATACTCAAATGGATAGATTACAATTTGCATGCCGTACAAAAATTAGCACACAATTTGAGGGCCTCTTCAATGAGTGAGACCTCACATTCATGGTAGATTTCGAAGAAGTAACTGATCTGTATGAACCCTAAGTTTGAAAAAATAAACGGTCCAATTATGTCGGGTTTCTTAGAATTTTGTGTAGTTCAAGAAACATATACAAATTGAGGGGTTGGAAGTTGGAAATTAAAACAATTATGGTGCATTAAATTACCCGTGTCTGGATATTAGAAACTACGTTAAACCATACGTCAAAGTCTGAGTTCTTGCAAAGATATCCTTTATTGAACTAATTCATTTCAAAGTTAATGTTATATATTTTATCTTCAACGTGTACTTAATCAAAGTTATTACAAATGTCCATAAATTTGTTTTTTCGTCGAGAGTTGATTGTCTTTTTTTTTTTTTTTTTTGCCCAAACGCGAGACGGGGCATTTTCTTGTGACCCGTGCCTAGACTTACCTTTTAGAATCCTGATTCTACCGTGTTGACGTCAAAATTAACAAGGCTAATCTTAAATCAACTTTAAGAAAAAATGGTGATTTAGTATTGAAAAAAGACCACAAAATATGTTTAGAGAGTGTAATTATGCCTTGCGTTGTTGTCTGAAATCACTTGCCTTTTACAAGAGTCCTATTCAACTATTTATACATAGTTTCAACCGAAATTATATCAAATCAGTCAAATCAGCAACAATGCCGAGCTAGGAACTCGGGTCGCCAAATTCTCCTGCGATTGGTCGATGAGGTCGGTGGTTATGTGTCAATGTGTTACCCAAGTAATGATAACCTGCAACAGGCTGGAGTTCGAGGACTTAGAATTGATTGTTCCGGTCGGCGATGATGTCACCTGTGGTAAGTGTATCTGATTGATAGGGTGATGTGACAAGGGGTAATCATGATGTTTTTCTGAGATAACGGTGGTTTTGTCAGATTTGGGAATATGGGCCAAACTTACATTTAACTGAGGTGAGGTTAGCAAACTGTTTTTATTAGGTCGGAGTTCGGATATCAACATACCGCATCAAGAATATTAACATTACACCCATTAGATGTCAAGCTAGCCCAACTAAAAGAAATTTTACACTTCTATTTTTAAAAGTCTTTCGACAAATTTTTTTCGATGAAACAAACAACCCAAAAATAACGTTTTACAATTCGTTGCAGGAACATTAATACAATACCATAAAGGTGAAACGGTATCTTAAATACTTAAGTTATTCAGTCAAATAAAAATTTATTAATTCATCTTCAAAGGTCTTAAAGCGAAATATTAATGCCTCAGCCTCCAATGAAGAGGAATACCTATGTCAGAGCTTCGTGACTCGTATGGATACAGCAGTATATATATTTAACATTTCGTGTTATAAATGAGTCACACAACCCAAAGCTACTGTTAATTATGAGTCAACTCGAGATTCTTTCTTTTGATTGGTTGCGTACATACAGAGCAGTTCTGAGTTGAAAGTAACAGTGTACATGCATGCCACGGTGATGTCCACGCCTACTTTATTTTAGATAGAGCCATGTGAATCCCCATTAAATAAAATTACATTATATTTCATTTTTCTTTCTCCTATTTTCAATCACACAATTTTTCATAAAATAATACTATATGTAAATCGAAATTTTTTCCTTCTTTTTCAACTACTCATTTTTCTAAAAAATAATATTCCCCCCATTTTCATTTTCAGGTAATGGAGATCAAACATGGGCATAATTAAGGTTTCGTGTATGTAATACTAGTATGTGGGCATATTACGATTATTCAAGGTTTCGTGCAACAAAAATTGCCCTCTACTTGCCCCTCGAGAAATAGCATAGTGGTGCAAACGATAGGAGTGAGGTTATCTTACGCCTTGCTGGTAGCCGTAGTGTGGGGATTTGATTTCTCAGACATGAAATTTGACTCTTTGTAGACGCAATGTACATACAATTCTTGTTTCCTAATCTATTGGGACACATCCCACAATTTAGTTCTCTTACAATGCTCTAGGGACAAGCCGGTGAGGACCCTCAACATTGAGGTTCAACTTTTTTTTTTTTTTTTTTTTTTAAATTGCCCTCTACTTTAAAAAAAACCCAAAACAAAAGAAACAAAAATGAAAAAAAAAAAGTTCGATGCCAACCAACCCTACTCTCACTCAAATATAATAGAAATAATAATACTGCTGCCTTTGCGATGAAGGGTAGACGGAGATTTTATTTGTACGATTAGGTTGTTGGAATTATAAATTGTGAAAATATAGGACACGCTATGTGTGAGAAATAGCCAAATTATTCATAAATGCATGGCCACTGCTTTGAACATTGTAAACCAATAAGGAAAATGTCGAACTGCCCGAAATTTGGTGATCAACCTTCATATGGAGTGTGGACTCCGCATTAATAAAATAATGTCTGACCCCCGAAGTGTGAGTTCTCTATCATCCCGCATGTCAACCATTATATTTGTATAGCATAGTCCAACCAATAAAGGTTCAGTAAGTACCCATATGCAACTTGGTGTCCTTCACAGAATATAGCTAAAGTATTCATTGCCTATACGGTCTGTTCGTATAAAAGCGGCTGTAATTTAAGCAATTCTCTCAATTAATTTATTAGACAGTTCAACTTACATAAAGAGGAATCAAATGTTCATTGAATTTTATTACAAAGTAACTTCGTTTAACGATTTACATCAATTTGAATCGATCGACTTTACACGAATTTTTCTCTAATTACTTTATATTTTTTATTTATATTTTTATTTTTTTATACTTTTGCGTGACAAACAACTTGGTGTCTTTCCTCAAACCTACACTAGTGTCAGCAAATTTTAGCATTTTTCAAGAATTTTACAGAAATTCTCTAACAAACCACTACTTATAAAGACTGTCCGAATTGAAGTCATCCTATAAGCACATATTCCACATTGAACACAGACTCCTTCCTAGCCCACAATTTTTTTTGTGTAATGAGCACGCAGAATTGGACGAGTAAAAGATGTTGAAAGAGTGTTAGGCTTGTTTGGACAAAATTATAATGTAATAAAAATGAGTGATAGGTAAGTGAGTAGTAGCCATGGATCATACGAATGAGTGAATCTTGGGTACGATAATCCTATTAGCACAGGTGATAGAATCGTTTGTTTAATTATGATGCCTTGAACTATTCAAATTGGGTTGTGCTACATGACCACATCGGTTGACACAAGGGTTAACATATCACACACACATAGGAGCTCGACATTATTTTATTAGCGCGGGACCCACACCTCGACTGTAAGAGATGTGTCAATCTTTGTGTTAACAATATGGTTGAGCAGGATTTTTCATTCAAATTATGACATATTGGGGTTGCACACCCAATTTGTTTCTCTTTCTTGCCACGCAGGACGTCAAGCTATTGCAAGGCTCGAGATCAGAGGAGTTGAGAGCGAATGGTTCTACGACGCGTGGATATACGACCAACCCATTTGAAGCTTTTTTGTTGTATGTAATATATAGTTAAAATAAATATTAGACTTTGACCATTTACTTGCAAAGAAATTATAATATTTCCCGAACGTGCACTAAGTAAATTTCAATGCTCCACCCCCACCCTATATATATATACATTATGCATGCATTGTCAGTGAAGTGTCCGATTTCCTATATTCTTATTCTGGGAGAAAAACCAGTTAAAAAATGAAACTACAAGTAAATATTCAGATCCTCCAGCTCTCATTTCTAGCACTTCTATTCTTTACCCCTCTCCTCCACAAAACCATATCCTCCGCCCCATTCGCTGCTGTCCTCCACCTTCTCTCCGCCAACCTTCGCCTCTCACTATCATGCACCATCTGCACATTCATCTCCATTTTCTACTACTTCTACACCCGCCCAAGCCAGGTTTACATGCTAAACTACACCTGTTACAAACCACCACCTCACCGGAAGTGCTCCTATCAAGTGGCTGAGAATTTTGTGAGCCGAAATGCACAGTTCACCGAGAAAACCCTAGACTTCATGCGTAACATTTATCTGAAATCGGGTTTAGGTGATGAAACTTATGGGCCCGCGTTCATTTTTGAAGAAGATGGTGTTCCTACACTAAATTACGCCATGCAAGAAGCTGAAGAAGGGATTTTTTCTTCCATTGATGCCCTTCTGTTGAAAACCCTAATCGATCCACAATCCATAGACATTGTTATTGTTACAAGTGGAAGCTTTTCTCCTACTCCATCACTTTCTTCACTCATTTTAAATCACTATATACTCAAACCTGACGTGAAAACATATAATCTTAGTGGTATGGGTTGCAGTTCTGGAGTTATTTCAATGGATTTTGCAGCCGAGATTTTACGTAGCAGCCGAAAAATTCAAAATGTTCTTGTAGTCGTCACTGAGAGTATCACTTTAAATTGGTACTCCGGTGACAACCGTCCAATGCTGGTGACTAATTGTATCTTCCGGGTCGGCTGCGCCGCCGCGTTGATCACCAACGACCCGAGTCACCGCCGTGTTGCCAAGATGGAACTTGTTGACTCGCTTAGGACTCACGACGGGGCTGATGACGGCGCCTATAGAGCTGCATTTCAAGAAGAGGATGAGAAGGGTATTAATGGGATTTCACTCACCAAGGATTTGATTAGGGTTGCTGGCATGAGCTTACGTAAGCACATCAAGATTTTAGCACCACGAGTCTTGCCACTGAGTCAAATCGTTCATTATGCCTACTCGGTAGTTTCGGCCAAGTTTTGGGGTGACGAGTCGAAGCCTATCGTCCCAGACTTCAAGACAGCATTCGAGCATATATGTATACACACGGGTGGTAGGGCTGTGATTGAGAACGTAGCCCGAGTTCTCAAACTGGACGACGAGGTGATTGAGCCAGCTCGAATGACTCTAAACCGGTTCGGGAACACGTCTAGTAGTCTTGTATTCTATGAATTAGCTTATTTTGAAGCCAAGAAAAGAGCAAAAATGGGTGATAGAATGTGGATGCTTGCATTTGGAACAGGGTTCAAAGTTGGTAGCTTAGTGTGGAAATGGCTTCAAAATTCAAGCCAAGAATTTGATAATCCATGGAATGATTGCATCCAAAATTATCCATTGAAGACTTGATAAGTTCAACTCCAAGAAAACCTACCAAGCCTGTTGGTGAATAGTATTAGTGAATACCCAGTAACCAAAAAAAAAAAAGGGTCCCTGAAATATTAAAACATTTTCTCAGCTCGATGGCCCATTTTGAAAGACTATCAACATGGAAATATATGTGGCAACATATTTTTTATTAATTAGATAATAATTGATTAGTTGGTATTTTAAATTTTGTGGTTTGTTTTAGCGTCGAGTAGTTATGAACTGTCTATTTACTATTTTGGAATGTAATTTTTAGAGAGTTCGCCTGAATGCTAGAACGAGGTATAAATTGAATTGGGTAACAACATTTTGTGTGTATTTGATCAAATATTTTAAAATTTACTAATAACTTAATTTAGTAAACTTCAAAGTTGTTCTTTACATAAATCCAGACTTAAGAACCTCATGTATGCCTTCCGTTACTCCATTCATTGACATTATACTAACACAAGAAGCTCCTCTTTTTCCCATTTTTTTTTTTTTTAAACTCCAACTTAAACTCCATTAATAAAGATAACCTCGAACTTAAATAAAAATATATTTGTGCATTTCTGTCCTAAAATCTTACCTTGCATGCACAAGTTCAACTGAGTACTCCTCTCACTGCGCTCTCTCACCCCATCCTCACAATCATGTTGTCGAAATCATCTATTTAAAGGGCAAAGCAGAGATAAGAGGCTCAAAGAGATTCGTTGCAACGATTATGCACTGTTGACCTCGAAAATTGGTCATTCCACGTGGCCAATCAAGAGCTACTCCACGTATTCCTCCCTGCGCACAATCAACGAATGGTCAGACGCACACGGCCGGGACCAGCGAGGGTGGTGGCGGCCGTATACACTCCGACGGTCAAGTCAGATTTAGGTGGTCGGAACAGTACCCAGGGACTGTGCAAATCAATAATAAGGGGGAGGAGAAAATATAGAAGCTTGCTATGGAGTGCTATGTAGTAAGAGTTTCATTACATTTGCCTCTTGCCAAACCTTGGGTATTTATAGGTGGTATGAGTCGTTGGATGTGGGATGTGTGTATACATCTAACGGTATGAGACGTCCGCTCATAGGCGTCAATCAGTCGCATCTGGAGAGTGGGCGGACAGCTTGTTTCTTCTGAGTTGAATTGACATAAAGTTGATAAGTCACATCAACTAGCCTCGTGGAGATGTCAAATCAATTTAAACCTTAGGTGCAGGAAGGATCTTGGCACAAATCTCTTTCTGAAATTGGCGACGGATCTTCTAACCGGGGTCCACTTGGCCTCGGCCTCGGGGGGCGAGGTGCTTCGGTCAGGTCAATAGTAGGGAGCGCTTGTACTTCGCAGCGCGCTATTAGGTTGCAGGTAATGCCGATATCACTTCGAAAAGACTTCGAATGAGTCTTTATCAGGTCGGAATATACGGTGGTGCGCGTTCCGAGGCGTAACATGCACCAAAGAAGGAAAACAACTTTCGAAGAAGCTCTCCATCTCCATGTGAGTTGAAGTGGCGACGATAAAACACCTATTGGCGAAGGATACTCACCAATAGAAAGATTGACCCCATCCCTATTTTTCATTATTTTTATAACTCTCAATTTAAATAGTATATAAAATAATTAATTAATTAATTAAATTCACATCATAAATGAGGAATTTCTAATAATTGCTCTCGCTCAGCTTGCACCTCACCTTTTGAAAATTTCGATCGAATGGGAATGATCATGATCTTCACGTAGTTTTCCATCGATAGGTAGATAAAAAAACAAAACTCTCACCTTATCGATAATATATTAAATATCAAAGAATTATTTTTTGGACGATTCTAACCTACTATATTTCAATTATTTTAATATTACCTTATTTTCTGTTTTTCAAATTGTATTTCATTTATTTACCATCAATATATATATATATATATATATATATATATTATTAATTCTCAATTAATTAACATTCATATTCATTTAATTAATATTCATCTTCATTTATATATTTAAGTGTTTTTAATTCTAATAATAAGTTAATTAGATTTTCACATTCAAAAATACATTTCATTATCCATGTCCATGTATGCTAATTAACATTCAATTTTACTTAACTGAAAATTAAATAAATAATTCAACATTCATTGTCAACTATATATTCGCTAGTATTGATTCTAAACTAATTAATATTCACATATATTTAAATATTATTTTTACAGCACTTATAAAGTATTTTCGTAATAATGTATGCGCACTTTCAACATTAACTAGTTATTATAAAATGACTTCACAAAGTGCTAAAATTAAAAATTTACAAAGAAACATAAAAGATTAGGATTTTGTTATATGTGCATTAATGTTTACACAAGGATTATATAGTGCCAAATATCATTATACTATTCATCAGTTTAAATTATAGTCAACTTTTTCATCCAACTTTTTTTCCAAGTCATTTTCAATACCGATTCCTAAAATGCCTTTTTGGATATTCCTCAATTCCCGGCTATTCACGGCATGGAAAGCTTCGCATTCTTTTCGATCTTGTACCCAGTACACTTAATACCAACTCAATCTCGATTCTCCCAAGCAGCAAACTCTCAAAAGAGTAAATTGACGATTGAGATGCTTTTGAGCAAAGTGAAGATATCCTCTAGTCAGGTTGTTATATACAATTAGCAAAATCCTTATTATTATCCAATCAGTTTCCTTTGTTCCGCTCAAACCCCTCAAAGGCCACAACAAAAATATTTACGAGCAGGGCCTCTCTCTTCTCTAGCCAGAAGTTTTTGGTTACTACTCCATTGGCGCACAATCTACCAGGGCGCATGCACCATGTACGGATAAAAAGAAGTGGCAAAGCTGCAATACTGTTTTCAGTAACCGTTCACGAGCGGTGCGCAGGTTAAGCAGAGACATGCTAATCCTTATTCATCATCCTGTAAGCAAGTCCTTCCCTCAATTCGTCCCATCCTTATCCTCCAAGATTCCGATTATTAACTCCACTGTCATTCAAACCAAAGTTTCTTCCAAATTCCCACTTGGTGAAACCCCAAATTTCTCTTCAGAATCTTGCAAAGGCTTGTGCTTTTCCGTACAATTACCGAATAGGCGAACCCGTGTTCCCTTTTGTTCCAAGAATGGAGTTTTTGAGGATTTTACAGGTACCCTTTTGTCCAAAAAGACTGAAAATGGATTTGAAGAGCTTGAGTTACTTAACAAGCCATCTCCAAAGCTGTTAGATGATGGGTCTATTGAAGAAATAGTTGAAATTGAACCGGAGAAACCTGATAAAGATGAAGTTTTGGAGACTTTTTACAAGTTCTTTAAGCTATCGGATGAAGAAAATGATTCAGGAAAAAGTAAAATTGAGAGCTCTAGTCAGGAGAAGAATAAGAAAGTTAGTGTAGAGTATTATGACCCGAAACCTGGTGATTCAGTGGTGGGAGTAGTTGTTTCCGGGAATGAAAATAAGCTTGATGTGAATGTGGGTGCAGATTTATTAGGAACAATGCTGACTAAAGAGGTATTGCCTTTGTATGACAAGGAGATGGAGCATTTATTGTGCGATGTGGAGGACGTCAAGGACTTTATGGTGCGAGGGAAGATCTGGATAGTGAAGAATGATGAGGCAGTGAGTGAGGATCCAAAGCCCGGAAAACCTGTTGTGGAGCCAGGAACTGTTCTTTTTGCTGAGGTTCTTGGCAGGACTCTTAGTGGCCGGCCGTTGCTTTCAACCAGAAGACTTGTTAGGCGCATTGCTTGGCACCGAGTGAGGCAGGTTCTTTTCTCTCTCTGTTCTTCATTGTGGAACTCTGAATATATTTTGACTGAACATTTTATGATGCATTTGTGCTCGATTTGAATTTAATAAAGGGTTAGAATTCAGCAATTCTATCAGAAATTTTAATTGAAAAGATTTTAAATTAGTACAGTTGAAATGGGCAATGCTTTCTTGTAATATCGCTGTGTCGTCTGAGATTTGAATTTGCATGTTAGAGATTTTATGCCTCTAGATTTTGAACAGTTGAACAACAAGAAATGGAACAATTGAGGATACAGGTCCTTGGCCGAGCAAATAAAACAATAGTCCTCCAGTCACCTTCACAGGACAACGGCTTGCGGTTGAGACACTTGTTCTTGCCGTTAATTCATTCTGCTGTGAATGGACTTATTGTCATAAGCTAGTCTGTCAGGCTCAATGTGCCGCCACCTTTGAATTTATTTACCACCAATGATGCATGAAAAAGAGGGCTGGTGTAGCTAGGAAGTTACCACTTTGTAAGAGTCAGTTCAATTGAACTAAAATTGAAGTTATTAAGAATTCAGCACAGCTCCATCCCGGTCCCAGATTTCATTGAGGAAAGATGAATGATAAGCAAAATCAATCAAAATGAATTTAACTGCATAATCTTGAAAGAGGAAAAAAAAAAAAATGAAACTTCAATATCTCTTGAATATAATGGAATGGCATGCGAATTAAAAGGAAATAACGTACAAAAAGCAAAATATCTCCCTTAATTATGTTGATCCACAGCCTCGTGTTTCGTCTGGTACCATAAGCATGTTTTTGCCACTAAAGTTCTATATCCAAATGGAGCCTACTTGAGGAGTTGATTTTACAAATTGTTAGGCTCATCGATGCCATAAGTTTGCATTATGTTCACCCTAATTTCGACGGTGACTTTGACTGAATGATGGACATATATAGGCTACGAAAGAGTCAACCTAAGTTGGTTCATGGAGGCTGTTGGGTTATTGATACAGCTGTGGTTAGATGTTGGATGCTAATGTGGAAATTAACTTATGTACACTAACTACTTGATTGGAAAACATTAAAATTTAAAGTCAAGTAAAAATTTAATTTTAACCATACATTTCATAGCACCCACAACTACTGCTCAATTATCCACTGCTCATCTTATCACATTATAATTTCAACAACTTATAATTTATCCAAACAAGGACTAAGTTTTCTTTTTTCCTTTTTATCTGTGAGGTTTCAGTGGAATTTTTAAGTGCCTGCTGTTGGAGACTCATCTGTATCTTTCAGTCTTTTCCAAGTTGTGTATTCTTCTTTTGTTGGAGAACTGCTGTATAAGATTGTTTATCTTGCACAGATTAAGCAGCTCAACGAACCGATAGAGGTTAAAATAACTGAATGGAACACTGGTGGTCTCCTTACAAGAATAGAAGTACTTTTCTTCCAAAAGCTGAATTGATGAATAAAGTTAGCAATTTCACCCAACTGAAAGAGAACGTATGTCAAAGTGCACTTTTGCATGTCTTCTTCTCTTTTTCCTGCACTAGTTTTTGTTCCAAGGATCGTAATTGTTTTCCATACGTTGGTATAGACATTTCTATCTACTTCTTGTCTGGTCAGTTACATCATGCAAAATCAGATCTTATTTGCAGTCTATATTTTAGAAACTAAACCTGCATTAAGGAAGGATAACCAGCACATTCTTCTACCAGGTTTCTAGTCATTGGCTGGATAATGCAAGGACATGACTAAGGATATCTGTAATTTTTCAAATATATAAAAATTAGTTAAGCGGGGATTAAATAACTCCAACTCAGACTGTTTCAACTTCATTTAGGGACCATATTGGATTATTTCACCATTACAAATTAATGTTTGTGGAAGAAGGACCACTGTTGATCCAGTCTCGTGTTTTTTATTGAAATGAGTGGTCTAGAGACAAATGTCTCCTTAGTTCATCTGCCTTGTGAATGACCAAGATGAATAAAGACTAACTGCTGGTCGGCGCAACTATTCCTTTTTGCCCAACAGCGCCTTGTGTTCTTTGGTAAAAACATTACAGCTATCATAACTAATTGTCAAGTTAGTGTTCCATTACTACTTTTTTGTATGTACGAATCACCACTCACAGTTATTCTATCACCTATAAGAGTCATAGTTCAAAGAATCCCGATTTCCAAATCTGACGATACACTTGTATTAGCTATGCATTTGCATATTATTGCATTATGACGTGCACCCATTTATAGGTTATTTCTTGATATGGCAGGTGGGACGACGAATATATGTGCAAATTACCAGAATAAATTCAGATACCAATGACTTAATACTCAGCGAGAAGGAAGCTTGGGTTTGTCTTTCACTATGAATAATCTCTTCCTGTCTTTTTTATTTGGGCGTTTTATTTTCTTAATGGCTCTTTTCAATATGATTAATTTTGTTGTTTGCTTCTTTCCCTGTTGATTTTTGTTTGGCTATACAATGTGACAGGAAATGTTGCATCTTCAAGAGGGAACGCTTCTAGAAGGAACAGTGAGGAAAATCTTTCCATATGGTGCTCAGATAAGGATAGGCGATACTAAAAGGAGGTAAATTGCTGATTTAATGGATTATCTTTCATAATTTAGTTTGCCACTTGATGCTGATAAATAATTACTTGCTTGGTTCATTTTTTGTTCTCTTGATAATGAGAAAAGCTAGATTAACTTTTTATAGATGTGACAATAAAGTGAGATTGGTGCTGCAGACAAATAAATCTGCATATTAATTTACTTCCTAATGAAGGTAAGACAAACTGCTAAGTTCAATTAAGAGATAGATAGAATTTAGGCTGAATGATTTATTACATGCTCAAATAATCATCTATAGGAGTACAATCCTATCGATATAAGGAAAAATAGAGGAAAGATAAAAGATCACGAAAAATATTAGTTCCTAACTAAATTAGTATATTGACTAGATAGAAATACTTCAATAATTCTTATTCTAACTTTTCAATATCTATCCTCGTCAAGTTGGTGCATCAATAGCACACATGCCCAACTTGGATGGTTACAGAATGGCCTACCACTTGAAAACTGTTGGTCGAATCTGATTGTAACTTCAAGTAGTATAACCTGTGCAGCTTTCTTCTTCGTTTTTAGCTTGCTTATTTCTTAACCACTCTGGGTAACCATGTAGTTTCCACTTTCCAGCAAACATCAATTATGTGTAAAGCACTGTGGCAGAGGCCGGTAGAAGTAGCTGAAGTTGCTAATTGCTAGTTATTCTTCTGGATAGCCAAAGCCGAAGCCTCAAAGACGACCTTATACTGATAGTAACTTCCCTCTGTACTTCATAACAGACTAGTGACTAGATCTCTTTTAGTGGAAGAGGAGAGGTAGCCAAAACACAAATACTAACTTGATCCAAGTTGTGGTCAATACCTACAAGAAACATACATACCTGATCATCAGCTATATGCTTTATGCTTCTCAATATCGACTGCACAAGTCATGTCATTAGGTCGCTGATGATCAAGTTCCTTGAATATGGAGTTGAGTACATTGTGGTATTTAGTAGGAGATTGCCCACCTTGACACAAATGGAACGACTTCTTCAATTCATATACCTGGTAAAAGTCGAAAATGTCAAAATAGCTCCTTTTACTGCATCTCAAACTTGTTTAACCTGGGGGCTAAGTAAACTGTGATTATAGTGTAAGTTGGATAAGTGATAAAACATTTTACTTGGATGATTTGGTTGAATTGTAATTTTTTTTTCTAATGATCGTGACTTACCATGTGGAGTTTTTGTATAACACGTAGTTTAACGGCCAATTTCAAATTGAAAAGCGCTTGTTATACATCACCGTTACAAATAGAATGCCAAACTGTACAAAATGAGACATCAGGTTGTCAGTCATGGAACTTATGAGCCAAGACTTGACTAAAACGTCTTCAACCTCCCGTTTATCATAACTCAAATCATTCTCTGGCAATGCGACCTTCCGTACTGTGATATAGCCTTTTTTTCTTTCGTTTCGACCCACAATATGTAACTCCCGTATATTAGATCAAACAAGGTAATGCCAAACTGTACAAAATGAGACATCAGGTTGTCAGTCATGGAACTTATGAGCCAAGACTTGACTAAAACATCTTCAACCTCCCGTTTATCATAACTCAAATCATTCTCTGGCAATGTGACCTTCCGTACTGTGATATAGCCTTTTTTTCTTTCGTTTCGACCCACAATATGTAACTCCCGTATATTAGATCAAACAAGGTAGATAGCCCCATCCAATTTATCATGAACAGGTGAGTTAGTATGTTGAATAGTCAGGGAAGAGGAGACCACTTGTTTCTAGAAAGGGTCTTATCACTTTTGTCGGACATATTGGCAGCAACACAATGGAAAATCTGAAAGGAGCAGGTGAAGATCACTAGATTTGAAGAATATCAACCAAGGAAGATCCTTAATCTGTCGGACTTCTAGTGCTTGCCTGATGGTTGGGTCAATCAAGATCAGGGGTTGTGCAGCTCTAAGAAAGATCGCCAAAGGGTATAGCGTAAGAGATGACTGCATTGATAAAGTCAATTTGTTGGTTTGTTTATGGTAATTTGCTGCACAAACGGTAAACCTTTTCCAGTCATTGAGTATGCTGACCAACCAAGGCAAGATTAAACTTGCAACCACCTATAATGAGTTGGGGAAGTTTAGTTGAGCTGACTCTTGGTCTCAAATTTCTAAATTTGGTAGATGCTCTTCACCTCTTTATCATTTCTTTTGAAGATTATGCATAAAAAATGAAATGTATGGACAATAGATAATTGAGAACAGGAACCTACCTGTCTCCTCTTTGTGGATTACTAGAATAACTAACTCTTCTTTTTACCCTTTTGTAGTGGATTGCTGCATATTTCAAACATCACCAAAGGAAGAATTGCTTCTGTTACTGATCTTTTGGCAGTTGGCGAGAAGGTTAAAGTTCTGGTTGTGAAGTCTATGTTTCCTGACAAAATTTCTCTCAGGTACACTGATGCTCTCTTTTTTGATTGCTTTGCAATTGACACTATTTTACTCGATAACGTTTTTAAGAACATATAATTGATTGGCTGTTAAAAGTTTTTGGATTCTTTAAGTGGAGGATATGTTGAGAACAGCACAAGTTTGTTAGTGATAATTAATTGTACCATAACATTGCGAATATTCTCTCTTTCAGAAGGGAGGTGGAGTTTTCGACTTCCCTTTGTGCTTGGAATTTGATTCTCTCTTGTTACATACGTCAACTTACTTTTTCAAATGTAGGATGCCATAAGATTTACCAGAGTATTTGGCGCATTTTATTTGTTGTTTCCTAAATGTAACCCTCTCCATGAATATATCTTACAGAGTTGACTGAACAATCAAAAATTATTTTATGTCGCGAATTTTTCTTGTTGATTTGATGTAACTGCTACACAAGTGCTAAATTTCTAATTAAATTTGATTGTTATGGCATGTAGTACCGCAGACCTCGAAAGTGTGCCAGGTCTATTTTTATCAAACAAGGAGGTACATGATATCAACAAATCCATTTCACTTCCTCATTTTACTTTCCGTATCAACTATACAAAGATTTTAATTGCTTGAAAGCTACGAGTGTTCATCTTGCGTTTTATTTTCCGTTTGTTGCAGAAAGTATTTTCTGAAGCAGAAGCAATGGCAAAAAGGTACAGGCAAAAAATTTTAGCTGTTTCAGCGACCCGCAAAGAGGAAGCCCTTCCCACGGATGGCTTACCTTTTGAAAATGAAGAAACTCCGTATGCTAACTGGAAATGGTTCAAATTTGAAAGAGACAACGCAACAAATCCATGACGATGGCATTTCAAAAGAAAAGGGAATTCAAACTGGAAAGGAGGATTTTGGACGTCAGTCGTGCTTCTTCCTCCATGAGCCGCTACATGCTGAATGGAATTCATCTTCCGTTTGAAACCCCTCACTTCAATGATCGATTCTTCTGGCAATTGGCACTTGCTGCATTTTGGATTGGGCACCATCCAAATTCGCCAGAACGACATAGTGCCCCGAGTTGATTTCTCCCCTTCGCCTACATTTTAATGATACAAGTTACAGTGTTATTTCCCTTCACTTTGCTAATTTAACATAAGAAATCCAATGTCGAACATATCTTCTAAACTTAAGTTTACTCAAAAACGTTTGTGCAATCCAGCTGTGATGCATGTCTATGTTGTGTTAATCATAAGGTTGTCGACCTGCTGCATTTATAATTCTAAATTGGTAACTATTCTTGGAATTGAAATTAAGCTATGCCAATAGTTTCCATGTTTTACTACATTCGTACCCCATTTCACCATTGGAGTACTGTGGAATCTTATATAACTAAAAACAATGTCACTCTCCTCTGCCATCCTTGAGCTATTCAATCTATCATATACTCGTACCATTTAGAAATGGCTTGTCCACCTATTGAGTTGAGAAAAAAGATTGGATTTCTTCTGCTATGCTGCTCATGTCACACGAACTCATCTATGAAGCGAGGGTGTTAAACCTCTTGGATATGCAAACAAGAGAATGAGCCATATGGGTGCCCTTGGCGGCCTTGAGATTTCTAGAACTGGCACTGGCTACATAGATGGTAACGAAGATGATGATGATGATTATTATTATTATGACAGTAAAGAGTAGACAGTCAAAAATAGTAAAATATCTTAAACGTGGTAAAGCTCAAGAAAGTTGAGATCTTCATATATCATCATCAATAATGCACAAACCAGGTCGAAAATATTAAGAATGTTATCTAGTGGTTGGAATCTTGCATGGAATACGGAATTCACAATGACTTTGTTTACACATAACTTGTTGAAACTTGAATATTACTTCATAAGAATGTGGCAATAAATCTCTTGGCTCGAAGTGAGAAAATTAGAAAAAACTACGGTGGATTCTTGGGTCCCACCTAACCTAATGTATATCAAATTCCGCAGACACATTGTGTGTGTAATTATATGTATGTTGGATGGAATCCCGTAGTGGAGAGTCACGCCCTACCCTAGTGTCATTAGGTTGGGGGTTCAATGCATCTTAAACTGATTAAATTAGCTAAAAAGGCTCTGCTTAATTTAGGCCATTAATGGTAAGATTAATTCATTTTTATATGACTTCCATGTAAAGGACGATTCCAAGCCCACTAAGTTCATATCATCGACATGGTCAATTTAAAGCTCAAACGAGTAATCAGATTTTAGTATTGTTAAGTTCAAACGAGTCGTCATCTTGTAAAGATTGTTAAATTAGACACTATAATATGGAGTTTTCATGCTTGTCCCTCAAGTGGGGAGCTAGTTGGACCACCTTAATATGTCTAAATTTCCTCTTCATTAAAGGTTTTGAGGTTTTCTTACTCAAGAGAAAATTTCAACTTTTATTTTCTTAAATTAAAAGCAAAAACAAGCTCAAGAGTTGGCACAGACTGATTTATTTATCTTGAAGATCAATTACAAAATCTTGAAGGGTGGTTCGCACCATGTGGTTGGATTCAGATTTTTAAGAATAATTTGTTATGGGGGCTGCTTCATGTACGGGTTCGCAGAATCCGTATCGAACACTCACAGAACCGGGGGTGAATGGGTGGGATTTTTGGTAGTTTTTTATACAAGTGGGTCCAATGCAAGACTCACTTGGTGTGAGTGCTCATAGAACCCCTATCAACCCAACAAAATTCATTTATTATAGGGGCAAAAAGGGGTTGGATCGGACCAAAATTATTCCGTTTGGATTCAATATAATGCTTCTATGCTTCAATAATAAATTCTAAATTATAGTATAAACTTTCTTGTTTCACTTTCATTTTTGTTTCAAGTAACAAAAACGTTGATTATTTTTGTATACACAACTTATGATTTAATTGAGGGACCATTAACATATAAACCTGGGTGAGAATTAAAATTAGGCTGTAGAGTTAGATTCAAGAATCACACAAAATCATTGGTTTCTCGGATCTAAGAACCCGGGATCATATTTCAATTAAAACTGATTAGTTCGCTCCGATTCAAGATTGTTTAAAATTAAAATACATGTTATGAGAGACATAGGACTTGAAGATGAAAGTTAGTGCCTAAAATTTAAAATAAAAATCGAATTTTCTTCCAAATTTTTTGCCCCAATGTGAATAATTGTGTTTGAAAAATCACTTTATATGAATGCTAACGTAAAACTTAATCCATTATTAATCAAGATTCCGGACACTATTTTGTAGATGCATCTGAAAATCATGCACTTATTATTAATACGTCTACCTTAAGAAAGGCTTTGACTTCTTTCCAAGCTTTTTTACTGCCAAAAATATCATTATTTTGATTGAGATTTGATAACGCCATTTTAAGGGGATTATGTTATAATTTTTTTGACTTGATAATTAATTAATCCAATCGGACAGGTAACTTCAGACCCAAAAAATGTAAATTTATTATTTATGTTTGACAAAATGTAAATAAGTATAATAGTATGTTCAAATTATATTGATTATTGATAAGTACGATGACAAATGTGATTTTAACACTTATGTGGATCTTCAAAGTAGGTGTTTGAGAGTGCGTTCATGCGTAGATACTTAATTTTGCATGTTTTATGATTATTTTAGGAGGAACATGATATTGGACAAGAAACGATGAAAAGAAAAGAGTTTGGATAGAAAAATGATTGAAGTTGGAAATTCAGGGACCAATATGTCAAGTTCTGATGTTGAAAGGCCTAATATGCAGTTTTGGAGATTTGGGCTGAACAAGAAATTGGATTCAGGGACCAAAATGCATAGGAGGATAAAGTTGAACCTGCAATTGCAAGAGTCATTGCAGAAGAAGCAGCGCCCAAATTTGCTTTTCCATGCTATCGCACCCTTGATGCTGGCATTAACGGGGTAGAAATCTGGTTCCCTATTTTGACTCAGTTTATATATTGAGCCCCTGTTTGTTTTCCATTTTTTCCTCCACTTTCAGAAGAAATAGAGCCGATTTTGGGTCCATCTGACATGATTTCTTTGACTTGCATCTCACATTTGGCTTTAAAAAGTGTGCAGAACGATTGGAAAACCCATTTTCATTTTGGAAAAATGTGGAACAACACGGGCTGAATATAATTTGAGGCTCGATTTTAGACATGAGGATCCGACTATAACCTAATCAACCACTATCTGGTAATATAGGTGGCCCCTACATTTTCAAGCCCGTACTGTTCAATTACGCACCAAGAAAGAAATTCTAACACGCATCTCGTTCGCTTTCATCGTTCAATTTTCCAAACGAAATAACCGTTTTCAACTGCAAAACTCCATAGGAGCTACGAGATGTGCAAATCAAAAGAGCAAAGAAGACAATTCATCAAAGACCTTATCTAAGAAGTTCCCTTGTTTAAATTAACACAATCGATGACCTCAAGATCATAAAGAACGTCTTCAAACAACACACGAAAAAAGAAAATTTTCCCACCTCGACAATTAGCAATCTTGAAATTCTTTTAAATAGCAGTATCAATTTTAGAACAAGAAAAAGGACATATATAAGCAAGTTTATATACTTACTCGAACAAAAATGAATCCAGACACGGACAGTAAAATTTCAAAAAATTTACAGTATCTCCAAAAAAGAAAAGAAAAAAAAATTAAAAGCTTTCTCAAACCCTAGCAGTTAATTTTGCCCTAAAATATTCATCTCTATCTCTATCTCATGTGACTGCAATTTTTCTTAGCCCTACTCCCGAAACACACCCACCAGCCCTTCCTCGATAACAAAAAACACACTGTCTTACTTATTTTTACCATACCATCAATAGACAGTAAAATAATTTTCAAAGATAGTAAAATAATGACTTATTTCAACTTTTAACTTAAAAAAACAAACCCCGCTATCAATTTTTCCTCTTTATGCACGCCCTTCCTTAGAACTCATTAGATTAGACCAAATAATTTTTTCCATAAGTAATTATTTTTAAGTACAGCTTTTGCTTTTCACAATCCCCTAAGCTGCCTCACTCCTATTATCATCAAACTCTACATTTCCCAATGCATTTATGCTACATAATTTTCATGGAGTACGTACTGACTCTGAAAACTTTGAAAAATTATCCGTTTAATTGCTGGAAATTATTCATTGACAAAAATGATCCTTGTCTTCGAATTGGAATGGACTTCATGCAAAGGGTATTATAGTCGTTGAATGTGACCTATTTCGTATTACACCCCGTGGAAGTCGATCAAGTGTGTATATTTAGATATTGTCTTCAATATGTCTCTAACATTCTTAAAAAATTGAATGACGAATGACGACGAAACTTGAAATCAAGGTTTTGTAGTAAATTCAAATTTTCATGATTTATCAGTGTCGAATCACCACTCTCAGATTATAAGGATGGACGCAAACTTATCTACGCGATGGATAGAATCTTGTAATCATGATTCATTTGCGCTTACTTGAACATACAAAAGAAACTACAGGAGTTGAAGTATAAGGACCCGAGACTGCGTCAAAGAGTTTTATGCATATAAAATGTTCTCATGCATGATGGCGAAATTTTGAATCCACTATTTTTATTCATGGTGACATTATACCCTTATTTGTTATCGATTAAAATTTCAAGTTAATGTAAATAATTAATTTTAATTACATATTTGATGGAATCACAACTTTTCAATACACACGTTCCACTAAGTTTAATTAAAATTTACTAAAAATTTGATTTTAATCTACACCAAACATTAACACGATTAGTCACCTCAATTAAAAGTTAAAATGTTCGAAGTATGATAATGTGTTGTAAGGAAAGGGAAAGAAGTATTCAAGAAATAACTGAAATATCAATTTTACCCCAATGCAATTTTAGTTGTCTTTGCATAAATTATGGGGGCAATTTGGGAACTCCGAACAGCTCACAAGGACCTATTAAACAGTACCTTGAAAGCAGGAACTATTAATCAGTGGCGCCCTAATCTGCGTATTTTATATTAAACTATTTGGTATTTAAATGCCACTTCACACTTTGAGACTCTCAAAAATTTTGTCACACACAGAAAAATTTAATTCCATCGCCACCACCACCGCAGCCACCACTGAAAACCCAAAAAAAATGCATACAAAATGCTTAAAGTGGTCATTACCGGAGAACTTAACAAGAACTTGGAGCTGAGTCACAAATCACTACCATTGTAACCACCAGTACTGGCACAATCGCCGCCGCCGCTGCTCATTCGGTGGAGCTGAAAGGAGGAGGAGCTCATCTCAAGTAAGAAGTTAAAACTACTGCATTAAACATACTTGAGGCTCTAACTTTTGTTCACATGCATGGATTTTGTTCACATGGTGTGAGTTTGAAGCATCCCTACCTCCACAAAACCCTCTCTCACATGCATTTTGTCTCCTTAGAGTGGACTTTCATCACCACCTCCGCCTGCTCCACCACCGCAGCCACCATGCTTTGAATCTTAGCACATATAGTTTGAGCTTGTAGCATCTCCACCTCAATGAAAAACCTCTTTCACGTGTATGTTATCCTTTAGAGTGAACTTTCACCACCATCCTCCTCCACCGTTGCAGCCGCCACCGCCGCCACCACCACATCTTTTTTGAGTTTTAAGCCCATTTCAAGAACTTCAAATGGAGAAAACATGCCATTTTGTTGGTACAAAAGTCCCATTCTTTTTGTTTTTCTTCTGGTTTTGCTTGAGTTTCAGAACACTTTTAGTGAACTCTCTCTCTCCAGATGGAGAAGCCCTTCTCTCTCTACTCTCAGCAGCTGATCCTTATTACAAAAAATCGTCGCCAATACTCTCCTCATGGAACCCTTCAAGCTTAACTCCATGTTCATGGCAAGGTATCACTTGTTCTCCTCAAGAGAGAGTCATTTCACTCTCTCTCCCAAATATTTTCCTTAATCTTTCATCTTTACCCTTAGAACTCTCCTCACTTTCCTCTCTACAGCTTCTTAATCTCTCTACTACTAATATTTCCGGCTCAATACCTCCTTCCTTTGGTTCATTGACTCGTCTTCGCCTTCTGGATTTGTCTTCCAATTCACTTTCAGGGCCTATTCCGCCAGAATTAGGCCGGTTAATGGCACTTCAGTTTCTATTCTTGAATACAAACAGACTCACTGGTACAATTCCACAACAATTTGCCAATCTTTCGTCACTTGAAGTCCTTTGCCTTCAAGATAATCTCCTAAACGGGTCGATTCCATCCCACCTCGGGTCTTTAGGCTCTCTCCAGCAGCTTAGAATTGGGGGCAATCCATATCTAACCGGTGAAATCCCATCACAATTAGGCCTACTTACCAATCTCACAACATTTGGTGCTGCTGCCACTGGACTCTCTGGCGTTATCCCATCTACATTTGGAAACTTGATTAATCTTCAAACATTGGCACTTTATGATACAGAGGTATTCGGTTCAATACCGCCTGAATTAGGCGGGTGTTTGGAGTTAAGAAACTTGTATTTACACATGAACAAGCTCACTGGTCCTATCCCTCGTCAACTGGGCAAGCTGCAAAAGCTCACTAGCATGCTTCTTTGGGGAAATTCCCTCTCCGGGACTATCCCTTCCGAACTTTCCAATTGTTCATCTCTTGTTGTTCTTGATGTCTCTGCAAATGATTTATCCGGTGAAATTCCTGGTGATTTGGGGAAACTATTGGTTCTTGAGCAGCTTCACTTGTCTGATAATGCACTCACTGGTTCCATACCACTGGAACTGAGTAACTGCTCTAGTTTAACAGCTATTCAGCTCGATAAGAACCAATTATCAGGCCCTATTCCAATGCAGATTGGTGAATTGAAGTACTTGCAGAGTTTTTTCTTGTGGGGTAATTCTGTTTCAGGAACTATACCACCCGCTTTTGGGAATTGTACAGAGCTTTATGCGCTTGATCTCTCGAGAAATAAGCTTACTGGATCAATCCCGGACGAGATATTCAGTTTAAAGAAACTGAGCAAGCTGTTGCTACTGGGGAATTCTTTATCTGGAGGATTACCGCGAAGTGTAGCAAGATGTCAGTCTCTAGTAAGATTAAGGCTTGGAGAAAATCAGCTTTCGGGTCAGATTCCAAAGGAGATTGGACAACTGCAAAATCTTGTGTTTCTTGATTTATATTTGAACCATTTTTCTGGCGGTTTACCTTCTGATATTGCAAACGTTACTGTTCTTGAGCTGTTGGATTTGCACAACAATTACATAACGGATGATATCCCGCATCAGTTGGGGGCCCTTGTTAATTTGGAGCAGCTTGATCTTAGTAGAAACAGCTTCACTGGTGAGATTCCATGGAGTTTTGGTAATTTCAGTTACTTGAACAAACTTATCCTAAACAATAATCTGCTCACCGGACAAATTCCAAAGTCCATTAAGAACTTGCAAAAACTAACTCTTCTTGATTTGAGCTCCAATACTCTCTCTGGTCCAATACCCCTTGAGATTGGTTATTTGACAAGCTTAACAATCAATCTTGATTTGAGCTCAAATCGATTCACAGGTGAAATCCCCGAGACAATGTCCAGTTTGACACAGTTGCAATCGCTAGACCTCTCACGGAACACACTATATGGAAAAATCACAATTCTAAGTTCTCTCACCAGTCTTACTTCCTTGAATATTTCATACAACAACTTTTCTGGACCAATACCTGTGACAACATTCTTTCGAACTTTGACCTCGAATTCTTTCATTGAAAATTCCCGCCTCTGTGACTCTCTCGATGGTGCTACTTGTTCTTCGCATTTGATGCGTGGAAAAGGATTGAAGTCTGCCAAGACTATCGCTTTGGTTGCTGTGATTGTGGCTTCTGTGACAATGGCAGTTGTGGCTACCTGGATTCTAGTGTCTCGGAATCACAGATCTGTAGTGGAGAAGTCCGGTTTGTCCAACTTGTCAGGAGAAGAGAATTTTTCTTATCCGTGGACTTTCATCCCATTTCAGAAGCTGAACTTCACTATTGAAAACATCTTGAATTGCTTGAGAGATGAAAACGTTATTGGAAAAGGCTGTTCTGGGGTCGTTTACAAGGCGGAGACGCCAAATGGTGATTTGATTGCAGTTAAAAAGCTTTGGAAAACAAAGAAAGACGAAGAACCAGTGGACTCTTTTGCTGCTGAAATTCAAATACTTGGACACATTAGGCACCGGAATATAGTGAAGTTACTAGGATATTGTTCGAATAAGAGTGTCAAGCTACTTCTCTACAACTATATACCAAATGGAAATCTGCAACAGCTTTTGCAAAACAACAGGAACTTGGATTGGGAAACGAGGTACAAGATTGCGATTGGATCAGCTCAAGGTCTTGCTTATCTCCATCACGATTGTGTGCCCGCTATTCTTCATAGAGATGTGAAATGCAATAATATACTCTTGGATTCCAAATATGAGGCTTATCTGGCAGATTTTGGACTGGCAAAGCTAATGAATTCTCCAAACTACCACCAAGCAATGTCCCGAGTAGCTGGTTCCTATGGATATATTGCACCAGGCAAGTGTTATTTAACTTTGGTTTCCTTTCTTTTGTTATTGTTTTCATTGTTTAATCTAGTTCTATGTACTAAATGTGCTAAATAATTAGTTGTGTTGATCCCTGATATTGCAGAATATGGGTACACCGTGAATATAACAGAAAAGAGTGATGTCTATAGTTATGGGGTGGTATTGCTTGAGATTTTAAGCGGACGTAGTGCTGTTGAATCACAGATTGGAGATGGGCAACACATAGTAGAGTGGGTAAAGAAGAAGATGGGAAGCTTCGAACCAGCTGTGACTGTACTCGATTCAAAGCTCCGAGGTTTGCCAGACCAGATGGTACAAGAAATGCTCCAAACACTCGGAATAGCTATGTTTTGTGTGAATTCATCGCCTGCTGAAAGGCCAACAATGAAGGAAGTGGTAGCACTTCTTATGGAAGTGAAGAGTCCGCCAGAGGAATCTGGGAAAACTTCTCAGCCCTTAATAAAACAGTCCTCAAATCAAAGCTGATTCTTTTTGTTTGGTTATAGCATTTTTCATCTTTAGGGAATTAGTGTTTGATTTTCTTTCCTTAATTTCCAATATGTAGGGGAGTACAGTTGCTGCATGAAGCAAGAGAAAAGTTCTGCTCCCAAAATCGGACAATTTCTTTGAGATTTCCTTGTACAGTTTTAATGACATTAGTGTTGTTAATTGGCTTCAATCTTTATCTTCCAACTGCATATCAAATGCATGAATAGGGTCACCAATCAGCTTTTCCTACGACCAAGCAGGATTTGCGCCCGGGCAATCTCAGAATCCTGGGCTTATTCTTAAACGCTAGAATCATGCTACGATGACATAATTGTTAACATAATGTCACATGACACTTTACTATCGGACTGTTTTAAACACCGACAGCTTTTTCATCCAGTCACATTTTGCCAACTAACACTATGTCACTCCATCCGTCAAAACTCTTTTTGTCAAAGTGGCATGACCCTATACACCACTATACATTTGACACGGGTTTGCCGTAATTACAATGCGACAATATTGCTAAAACTGAAAGAAGAATTGAACCTAAAGATTTTAAAGTCTACTTCGATTTTTCTGAACTTTCACAATTACCAAAGCTCCCAACAAATCTTGGCAGTTCAACTGCTGATATTCGTGCAATTGCTGATATTCCTGCAATGAGGCCATCCAATTTGACTTCACTTCCCACTATTCTAATCTTGCTAAATCCAAAACAACAGTATGTCCTAGTCCCATATTTGTACATGTAATGTGTAAGCAGACCATTGAATCACATGCATCCAAAGCTAGTGAGGTGCATGAATTCAACGGTCAAGATGTGCAGAAAAGAAGCAGAAAAACTGGATATGGGGGTGGGGTGAGAGAGTATAGTGCTATAGAGGAAATATTAAAGAAAGTGAGGAAGATTTGAGAAATTGTAGGCCCAAATATTGCTTTACACAGAAGGGGACACAAGAGACTACTTCCCATTCCCCACATGCCTTCAAGGGACAGTCAAAAATATCCTTAGAATTCCTGGTTCTGATTCTCTTACATGTTTGCAAACAGTATTTTATTTTGTTTTATGTCATTGGAAAGTAGAACTGGTCAAAAGAAAATCTTGTTTTATATCATAAATTTCATGTTCTGGTTTTTGTCATTTTATTCCCTTGCATTTATTGATAAGAACTACGGGATATGGCAATACTCTGTTTTTAATGTGACACAAGAAAATGAAGAGGGGAGAGAATAATTCACATAAAAATAAAGGAGGGGAGAAGCATAGAAGCACAATGGGGCCCCTTGCAAACTCTCTAGGATAACCGTTGAATTCATGGCGGAGTAGCATATTCTAATAGGGATGACAAAATAGCCCACGGCGTGTATTCACTCTGAAAATTATTTTATGTTCTTCTACAATTTTTTTATTTTTTTGAATTCCAAGTCCATCTCTTGTCGAAATATGATATGTTAAATATTCACTTGTAGTTGTGACATATCATATTTCAATGAATTGATGTAAATTTTCTACCGCATGTACATTCCCATAATAATGATGGTGTATTTCCAAAATCAAAATTTGTTGTTCTACATCTTGAGCTAGCCCAATTCTTTTTATATTTAAATAGTTTTTAGAAATAAAAAATAATAATTAAATGACAATTTGATTCCTACCCCGTTCTGCCCCGAGAACATACTCATGGGAGGAAAATGCTAGCTCGCTCAGTTACCATCACTAAATCTAATTATATGTCCCAATTCAATTTCCGTGTGCATTTGCTCTCTTCATGTGTGCCAGTCATGCCCAAAGATTGCGTAAATGTAGAGCTTGCTATGGATATAAAACAATTATCCAACTCAACCACGAAGAGTTCGAGGGTTACCATTTTGGGGTCGTTGATTGAAGTACTTACAGTGGCGAAGCCTCCGTGGAACAACATACTCATGGGAGGAAAATGCTAGCTTCCCTGCAAAAATACCACGTGCTCTTCCATGGAAGAGCTTCAAAATCCTTCACCCATCTGTAATCATGTGAAGTGACAACAATTTTTACATAATGGGTTTGAAAGCTATAAAAAAAATTACTTTATTTGCATTATGAATGAAATATACAAAGTAGATTTCATATTGGTTATGTTACACATCTGCGCACGATTTCAACCTCGTGCAAACCTAATTTAACAGTTGCCTTGTCACGATACGGTCCTACAATCTAGACTAGGGCAAACAAAACATATAATATGTCAAAGTGCAAATTCAGGTGGAATTGCATTCGATATCAAGCGGCCCTCACTGTGCTCCGACCCCTAAATCCAACAACATTTAGCTTTTGTGTAGATTGAAGGACACCAGAATTTTTGTTCCCATATTTTTTCTTCCCACCAGACCTCGTACCTCCTGAGCTGCTGCCACTACTGCCAGAAGACTTTGATGTCTTAAAGACCTTACTCCCCATCGTCTTAGGTTTGTCTGTAGAAGCTTTTCCAGATTTTTGGACAGAGGATTTAGTAACTATTGTCTTCCCACGGGCGTCAGATGATTTTTTCACAGAAGCTTTAGCCTTGTTTTTTGAATTCGAAACTCTTACCATCTTCTCGTTTCTTTCCTTCTGCACATTTATACGTGACCTGGCATTGTCCCGTTTAACACTTTCCACAGAGAGAGATTCCAAGCTTTCATTCTTCATTATGGCCTCTTCAATGTGATTGGCCAACATCACATCTTTTTTAGCAACCAAACTTGTCACCTTCCCTAGATATTTGAAAAAGGTAATCCAAAATTAGCAACTTGACATAAGTTCTGCGACTTGGGAGGATAATAACAACATAGAGTATCCTCTCTCCATAAACAGATAAGAAATGCAAGCTTGTTTGGGTGTTTCATTATAATTCCATGAAATTGTAATGAAGAGCAATGGGTCCCACGAAAGGTGTGACTAATAAGCAGAAGTAATTGCGAATGTATGGTTAAAACTAATGTCTGACTTTGACTTCAAATTATAAGGAAATTATAATGAAACCAAAACAAGTTCCAAGTAGAACGGCTTAGTAAAAGCAAAATCATGTTTATATTAGCAGATTGGGAAGGAAGGAAACAGATGATAGAAAGGCTAAATCAAGCTGCATAATATATGCATGTCTACGTGTATGTAATGCAGGATGAGTATGCTTGATATTAGCAGAGAGTTTTATGAAATTCAACCAGATTTGCGTGTGCACAAGAACACAAAAAATCGTGTCATTAAAAATCCAGCAGATTTATAAATTGATCCTTGTAATGTACAAGTAGGGAAAAAAATCCAACACAAAAACAAACAGCTACAGTGCCACTTTCAATTTTCAAGTCCTTTTAACCCAAGGAAACAGAAGAAGTTACCTTTTGCACCCATGCGAGCAGTTCTTCCAGTGCGATGGAGGTAATCAATCTAAAAAGCCAATGAGAAGTATTTACATATTCAGTTCAGAAGTGGAAGAGAAAGAGAGGAGAGGATTGCTCAAAGGAATCAAACGTTGAAGCTTACTGAGTTCAAAGGGAAATCAAACATGATAACATGATCCACATCCAAGTCCAATCCCCTAGCAGCCAAGTCTGTGCAGACCAAAGTAGGACAATCTCCATCATTGCTCTTGAATTTTTGCAGGTTTTCGACCCTGTATCAGAGAAACATGACATCAGTCTAGACCATAGACAGGAGAGAAAAAAGACACTGAAGATAGAAATCCTTCAGAGGCTAAAAATGTAGAGCTAAAGAGCAACTGGAATTCGAGGATGGTGGGTCATATATTTTTGCAGTTAAAATCTGGGAAATTGATTCTTTCTGAAGCTTTAGAACATGTTTGGCTGATCAAACATTACTATTCTAGATAGTAAATTATGTTAGTAAAGGCAAAAAATGTTGGAAATAATGTTTGGCAAAATAAGCAAATTAAAAGTAAGTTTAACTTTCATTTAAACATAGCCAAACATTTTTTCATATCAGGAAACTTCCCGCGAGAATCTTTAAAATTACATAAATCCCTCTAGTTCGTCCATTCATGAACATACGACTTTGGTAACATAATAGATGCAATCATGAAAATCAAAGACAAGAACGTATCTCATCTCACCTTTGTTCTGCCGGGACCTCTCCATGGTAGTTGACAGTAGAGAGCTGATTTTCATTCAAAAAGTGATCAACGGCTCGACTAGAATTTAATGTGTTACAGAAAACCATCACTCTGTTCCCTTTTGCTAAACTAGGCTCCAGAACCTGCAATTGCAAATTCATATCAAACCAAAAATGATTCTTCTTTGATAAACAGGAACAATTTTGTCTCTGTACACATTTATGACTTTGCTAAAAGGGAAAAATCTACAATAAAAAAAATAAAAAAAATAAAAAAAATAAAAAAATAAAAAAAACCTCCCACTTTTTAAAAATAGATGAAATACAAAATCAAAGATTTTTCTTGCACTTTATGCTCATTCATAAGTGCTACGGATTTTTGTTTTTTAAAGCCTGACTTATTTTAAAACCTGACAAGGAGCAAAAGAAATAGTAACCTGTAACAAGGCTTCCAACTTATTTTCTGAACCTGAAAGTTTGATAAAATCATGCCGAGCAGAAGCAATCTTCTTATGGAGTGTAGAAGTGCGCAAATGTATAATTCCTTGAAACTCCTCGTCAACCAGCTTTTGCACCGCCTACAAAATGTAGCATTTCTTAATTGTTCAGCAACCTCGAAGAAGAGTGATGGTGATATATGAGCTACCACTATCAGTCAAAGAAACTTAAAAAACACAATTGCACCAAATTGCAATCTAGATACAATTGGTTTGAAGTACCATCTGCTAATCCCTAGAATATTCGATGATCAAAGAGCATTAGAATCAAAGGTACACAAGATAAGCACTTTTCCGTTAGTTTCAATCATTTTAAAGAAGCTCAAGACATGGACAATCATCATATGCAGCCGTACTCTATTTTTATTTTGCTGTTAGGTAAGTCATAAATGTGCTAAGAACAACTAGACGAACCTTTGTCATTGTTGCAGTGACCATAACAGTTTGAAATCCTTCACTATCAGCTTTAGATGCACGGTTTTTCAATGGGGCAATAAATTTGCGGATATCGGGACCAAAGCCACGATCAAACATGGTATCTGCCTCATCCAATACCTATCCAGAGATGCCAGAATTCTCAAGTTCTGGTGGAAACACAAAAGCAACAAACTTCCAAGAATGCCTCAAAGTTCCTAGTAGTATATGAAAGTGAACTGATCAGAGGGCAGTAGTTACCACGTATCTGATGTCACCATAAACCATATTGCCCTCTTCTATATGTTGGAGAACCCTTCCTGGGGTCCCCACAACCATGTCAACTGGGCTGTTCAAGGAATCCTCTTGAGGTCTTAAACGCCCTCCACCGCTTACCATTGTTGACCTGAATCGAGCATGGTGACTAATAGACTTGGACACACGAAACACCTGCAACATGAACCATTAATTCGTTGAACAAAGTATGAGTAGTGTTTTGAAGTCACTTAAGAGATCAGTACGAAGATGAATAAACCTGCTCACATAGCTCCCTTGTGGGGCAGAGTACAACAGCTCGAGGGCGCCTGGGTTTCATTAGCATACCATGTAAAATTTCATCTCTTCTCAGCAACTAAAAGATTAAGGATATCATAATTCATAAGCAACAAATTTATTACAAAATGTGATGCTGCAATATAGAAGTAAAAATAACATAAAACCCAGACATTAACTAAGTGAACAATAATTAAATTAAGTATCAAGTCCTCGAGAATTTGAGAACAGAAAGTCTTGAGGCAAATAGGACTTGAATGGAACTTCACAGATGATTCAAGAATATATGCCCCCCAAAAAGGCAAATGACCTAGTACAGCATTTTTTCCACCATGCAAATGTCATTGAATCGAAAGATGGATCTTTTTTCTTCTTAATAAATTCATTAAGTATTGGCTGTCAATGAATGCCGGTTATATTGAACAAAAATTTCAGCAGGACATCACAATTTACTAATTGTTTACAGATAAAAAAAACTAGTCAATTTCAACTAAAGCTGGATTTAGACTTTAACTGCAAAGCAGCGTATCATACTGGCAACAAAAAGAAAACGGGGATCTTTTTCATCTATTTTCCTTCTAATGAAATGATTACGTTTCACCTGTCAATGATCGCCAGCAAAACACACATCCCTCCACACACATCTCCCAAAATGAGCTATATTTATCAAGGTTTATAATTTGAAAGAAAGAGCTGAAATGAATAAAATAAAAAATCAACCTCAACACCAGCAAAAGAGACCAGATAAGTAAATGATAAAGAAACTTCCAACAATAATGTTTTAAAGGTGATCAAATGAAAAGGAATGAATTTCAATACAATCAATATCTGTTCACACCTGAACAAGGGGCAACAAGTAAGCAAGAGTCTTGCCAGAACCAGTGTGTGACCCCAATACCACACTCTTCCCTTCGAGAACAGCAGGTATCCCTATGCATTGAATCTCAGTGGGCTCTGAAATGCCCATTTCACCCAAAGCCCCCATCACCTCTTCACTCAACCCCAGCTCCCAAAAACTGGAAACCATTTCCACCCCACCACCTTTCTTCTTTCTTGACCCCTCACTTTCCCCATATTTACTCTTCTTTCCACTGCTGGATGACCCTACTGGCGTCGCCGGAGGGGTAATTTTCGCACTTTCTTTAAGGTGTCTGTGCCTGAGTCGTTCTAACAGTATTGAGTGCTTTGTGTTTTCTAGTGTTGCTTCATCCGCCGCTGTTTCCGGGACTGCGATGGTAGTGGTGCAAAGTGTTCGGAGTTTAGGGGAAAAGAGGCCGTTGGGCGGCGGCGGTAAATTTAATGGAAGTGAGACGTAGAGCGGTCTGTGGAAAGAGAAACGTTTGGGTAGAGAGAGGAGAGAGAAAGTGAGGGCTTTTCCTGTTGTCCCCATTTTTGTATTTCCGTGTTTCAATTCAAGTTTTCAGGGTTTTGGGTTTTGGCCAGGGAAGAAGATAAAGATAATGAGAATGAGAATAGTGGTTTTTAGGTCACATCCTTGCATTTCTGGCTAATTGTAGATGTAGTCCTTACTTATTAGTAAATGTGCCGTTCAGTCCTCAATTATTTTTGTTAACATTACGATTGGAGGTCCTGTTCTGAAAGGCTCGTCTAGGCTCAAGGCTCGGAAAAAAAATATCTCACCTTGTGCCCAGGCAGAAAAATGACAATCAACTCTACATTGATTGTCTAAAGCACGCCTTGGTGAAAAAATGCACACATCTTTTTCCTTTTTTTTTTTTTTTGATAAATAATATTTTCTTGTTCAACAAAAATGCTCAATCGTTACTCAAACTAAAAAAAGAAAATAAATCCAAACAAAAATTCAAAATAACCCAAACACAGTCTTTTGATGCCCACGAACAAAACATAATTTGTGTATTTTAATTTTGAGAATTATGTTTTTACTGAAAACTTAAAAATACATATGAAATTTCTATAAATTTTCAAAATATGCATTATTTTATTTTTTATTGATTTGTAATAATTAAAAAAAAAAAAACCTTATTATGCATAGGCTTTATCTAGATTCATAAGGCTTGAAACTTAATCTTCGCACCTTAAACATTTTACAGCCTTAGTTGGAGACTAATCCCTCAATTTCAAAAATTATTTAAAAAACAAAAAACAAAAAACAAAATTCTTGCACCCTCCGTCGCATTTCTAGAAGTTTGGTTAAAAAGAGGTTTACAACTTGAAAATATGCTTACACACAAGTGTTATCGTGCACAGGTAAAAAGTTCGAACAGTACTTTACAATGTATGTGCATAGAGGAGAGTATAATTAGATACACCATTAAGAGACTACATAGTATAATTAGATTTCAATTTGGTATTGTATTTGTGATGTACGATACATGTACCATGCGAAAATCATGTAATTAGGATTTATCAATGTTATAGATAAAAGATGATTCGACGGTTTATAAGCAAATTATAAACAATAGTGACCTTTATCTTTACTTTTGTAAAAAGGATGGTATGTGAAATGTTGCGACCCTACACCCAAATAAAAAATAATAATAATAAATAAATAAATAATATATATATATATCATTGCACATCTATAATTATTTGATGTACAACAAACTTCCATTTTTTGACCAAGTGTCGTTCGCGTTCACAACACCATGCTAAAACCTCAAACAATTAAGCTATTTGTACATTACCTTTGACATCCTTGTTGACAGATGAGTGATGTGGCAAGATTGTGATGATTGAATTAAATGTGTAAAATGTGAAATATGATTTGTGATTGTGCCAAGCGTAAATTCGGTAAGACAAGATGCAAACTATGATGTACATGTAACAAGATTGATCATCAAAAGATTGGGAAAATCCAGATGGAAAATATAAATGAAACAGAACTTTGATTGAGACATTTCTAAGAAGTGCACATAATCTATTCTTTGCAACCATATGAACCAATATATACCATACAGACTCCAAAACCCACCAGCAGAATTTTCGAGAGAATATATTATACGATAGACACACGAAAAGAAAGGCAAAACAAGGGTCGGATCAAAGGTTAGATCATTTGTGAAGATATCTCCCGACAGAAGGAAGCAAAAAAGCTGCAAATTAATACATACAAGAGACTATTATCTGATGAATATTCAAGCCATGATGATTAACCTTAGCTTTATCTCAGGCTCCTCGCTTCTCTTAAGCTTCGCCCTCTCCTATACTCGACTTCTGCGTCAGAATTTGACGAGCCAATATTATATTTCCGGCCATTTCTTGTAGATCCAGACTCAGAGAATATACAGTCATCATCACTCAGAATGTGGATCCCTGGAGTACTTTGGCCAGAAACATCTCCAAGTCGACGCTGCTGTACTTGATCTGAGATGTAACAAAAGATGTCATTGCTTGAAGGATGGAGAAAAAACTGGCATGGTGAAGAAAAATGCGCAATATCATTATACAAAAATAAACTATCGAAAGAAGAACAAGAATTTATCAAAGATACGAACAACAATATTGAAATTGATATATTTCTGCTAAATCCTACTTGCCTATATTAATTAAATAATAAATTTTGCCAATTTTTTAATATTTAAATTCTATAAACTAATTTAGAAACAGCTACTACCCTGAAAGGTTTTTCCCTGATGAAAGGGAGGAATCCCGATGAACACTGAACTTCAATGGAACTCGGCTTGGTGGTGTATAATAAAAATTGCTACAGAACCGTTTGTCTCAATTGCCATCTCAGTATTGAAACGATTTTAGAAGTTTGTTTATCACGTTTTAAACTAAAAAATGTAGAGCATATATCTCAGGTTAGTGATAGTTCACCTTTAAGACCGTCACATAAGCCTGGCACTCCAGAGGGTGTCCCTTCAGCGTGATTCTTTCGTGCTTTACCATATTGTGGACCTGAAAACTCTTCTTGTGTTTTCTCCATTTGTGCTCCATCTACTGCTGGTGCAGTTAATACATGTTCCTCTTCGACTGGTTTGTTAGAGTTAAAAGGCGTCATACTGAAGGAGTCCTCTAATACATCAGAAATCTCCACATAGTGAGTTGTAGTGATGACTTCATCTGCACTGAAACCAAAGGATGCTCTGTAAGCTTCTATTTCCTCAACATCAGTTTTGCACATTTTGTTCTGCCTATTCTGGTACCCGTTTCCACCGTTTGAGTAAGCATCAGATTCTTTAGAAATACTGAGCCTACCACCAGCATGAGAAAATGAAGACTGATCCAAGTAGAACTGAGCAAATGTCTCGGGGCAGAAGAAATTGGAATCTTGACGTGACTTGGAGGCACCTGCTGGTTGAAGCCCCCCAGGTAACCCGGCTGAATCAGAATTTGGGAATTCAGTTTCCTTTGTAGACATGGAAGGATCCCATTGAGGAGGAAACTCCCGTTCGGGAAAAGATGATAAGTTGTCACTAGACATTCTTGAAACAGGTGATCTGAGAGCACTTGCCGGGCTTCCTGGATAGAGAGAATATGTTGCTTGAAGATCATTGCCAGCCATATAATTGTTCTTATCAGTGCTTTTGAGATTGATGGTGGATGAAAGGAAATGGGCATAAGGTACGTCTGGAGAAGAGGGAGTAGTTAAATGTGCCAATTCTGGGGGTGGAGTCACAGGGGCTGTAGATGGCTCTGTTGTGAAAGTTGAGAAAACAGGAGGAGATACCAGCTGCGTCTCGTGGGCATATGGACCCGTGACATACATA